TCAGGAAATGTTTAGGAAGATGCAATTAGGCTTATCTCTTTTATTTCTGTAAGGCTTGTGGACTCCTCTGTGCTAACCCCTAAAAAGCTTTTGTTTTGCTTGTAACCATTAAGCTAGACCTAAAAAAAAACATTCTTGAAGCTTAATTATTATATTTGCTCTTTTTAAAATCTAGCAATAGCTTAAGTTCCAGATGTATTTTCTTTCTTCTTGTTTTTAATAAAATGTACCCTTTTTAAGAACAGGATTGGGTTTTTTGTGTCCTGAGAGGTTTGTGCATATATTGTTTAATTAGCTGGTGGCAACAGCTGATTTCCTTTTTTTCTTTCTTGGCTCTTCCCCATGGGGGTGTGCGTGAAAGGGTTTGAGGGTACCCTATGGGGAGGAATTTCCAAGTGCGCCTTCCTGGGTTCAAAGGGTTTTTTTGCATTTGGGTGGTGGCAGAATCTACCCTTCCAAGGTCAGAGAGAAGCTGTAACCTTGGGAGTTTAACACAAGCCTGGAGTGGCCAGTATTAATTTTTAGAATACTTGTGGGCTCCCACCTTCTGCACTCGAAGTGCCAGAGTGGGGTATCAGCCTTGACAGCATCTCTTATGGCTCAAAATCAAATATTCAGAACATTATCAGTGCCATCGACCAAGATTTTTGCTATAAAGTTCTGGCCACTCCAAAGGAATCTATACCTCAGGAATTTCACCAATTCATTCCTGGACAGTCATCCGATGCAATCATACTATATCACGAATTTAAATCCTTCATAAGTAAACAGGAGGGTTTTGACAGAAGTAGAGGCCCTTTTCACCTTCTAGATCAAGCCAGGTAAGAGCAACGGAAAGAAATCGTTCCAAATTGAGCTTCACACATTCCAGTCAGAAAGCCTGGAAAACTATAACTTCTCTCAGGCTGGGAAAATACTTAGATTCTCAGGGAAGTGTATGCCTCCTTATTTGGGATTACAAGTATTGCTCTTTCCAGCCAGTTTGGTGTTATCCCATTCAAGATGCACCCCAGGGAAAGTGTCTCAATTTTTGATCTAATAGACTGAATCCAAGTCAGACTGTCAACTGCGCAGTTTTCAGCTTGGTTAGTTTCTTTATTTTCACTTTGACTTTGAAATCAATTTAAGGCTAATGAACAGTGCCAGACTGACAGCACCAGTGACCAAATAAGTCTATTAACTGAATTTCTTTCAATGTCCAGAACAGGGAAATTAAGGTTATCAGCAGTACTAGCTTCCCCTGTACTGCTCCATCAAGGTGCATAAACTCAGGTTTTTGAATGACAACCTTTATGGCTCAGAGGGTATTTTTGCCCCCCCCAATTATATTCAGTTTTTTGCTGGACTATTAGGACTGCCAACAAGGGTAGTAATTAAAACCAATTGTGATGGAGATTTTGTGTGGTTCATTAGAAACTGCACTCTGACAATCGAGTGCTTTGCCATAGACCAACCAGCCACCAGACACTATCATCCTGTGCCAGACTTAAAATACATTGCCTGTATCCTGTTATCAATCACTGGATGTTTCCAGACTCCATTAGAAACCACTTTTTGCTAAATAAATTACCTCAGGCTTTGCTCGGGCAGGCTGAGTCTATTTCCCATCAATTGTTAATGAAGACTGTGACTGATGGCTAGACCTGGACATCTGGTTTATAATTTTATATTAAACTCTTGAACTTTTATATAATTTTTCTATGAATAATTTTCATAAGATTGCTTGCTCACTGGTATTAGCAAGTTAATTGTCCTGAAGGTCTTTCCTAAATGGGGCAATACAGAGAGGGTTTATATACAGTAAATGGTATGGCCATCCTTACATAATGATACATATGCAATTACACTCGCAAAAATGATCTCAGAGTTTGCATGGGCAATCGTCACTATTGAACACACACATTTAGATATAGAACAGTGTTTACTATAAATTAAGATTAAAAATAAATGTAAAATACAATCCAAATGATCAGAATGTACTTTACATTATCATTTTTAATCTAATATGTAAGCCAAAATGGGAAGGGCAAGAATTTAGGAAAAATATTCTTGATTATAGATGTACAACATCTACTCCAAATAGCATAGTTCTCCCCTTTCATTTCATTTTTAGATTAGTTCTATCTTTTTCTCCAATTTCCTTATTCTATGCTATAAATCTACAAGCTGGATATTAAGACAGAAGGCTAACAGAACAGAATACTACTCATGCACCTTGTGGATGGTTTAACTGAGTCAGTATGAAAGTTTAACTAAAGTGTGTGTCTATGGTCCTAACAAAAGGGAGTGTTGGCAGGTGCATGAGCCTAGATATTGAAGAGCTTTCTTTAAAGTAAAAACATTTCCAAAATCTTTAACAGCTCATATTAGTCTTCTGCTTGTAGAAGTGATTCAGCAGATGCACTGTAACACACATGGGCATAGGAGGGATAGCTCAGTGGTTTGAGCATTGGCCTGCTAAACCTAGGGTTGTGAGTTCAATCCTTGAGGGGGCCATTTAGGGATCTGGGGCAAAAATTGGGGATTGGTCCTGCTTCAAGCAGGGGGTTGGACTAGATCTCCTGAGGTCCCTTCCAACCCAGATATTCTATGATATGTGATTGAGATTCTGGGAGTTGGGCTGTTCCTCCTTTCATGCCTATGATACATAAAGAGTATCATATATATAAGGAACTGAGAGGAAGTTAAGGAGGGTAACTGATGTAGGACAAGGCCACTGAGCTATGCTCATATAAACCATCCACACTTTTTAGATAGCATATAAACTACATGTATAGAAATGTCTATCGGTTCAAATCATCCCCTCAGTCATGCATTTTAGTGAAAACAGCTTTTCAGCAGCAGCTTATCGTAGATGATTAAGGTAAGGAAACTAGCTGAATATACGTGATCAGTCTGACATTTTCAAATGTCATTAACTTACTTATTTCTAAATGGTCATCTCTGAGAGATGCATTACTGTGGGCTATGTACAGACCAGGTTTCAAAATTTAAAACACAGACATCTGTTGGTTATCAACATTTAGAAAGGGAAATAAATTCTCCTCCACATTCAAATAAAAGTAAAAAAATCAGCTGAAAAATATTTTAATGTCATTTTTCTAAAAGCATTTATTTCTGGGCTGAGACTAGTATGGGAAACTTCAGCCAAAAAGGTAATTTTCTGAGAATCAAAAAAACGGGATTTAGAAGAGAAGTGCCATCTCATTATTGCCTATTGCGTCACTACCTCAATGTTATAACAATGTTTGGAAATTCTTTATATCAAATGCCTGAAGTGACTCAGACTAAATATGACATAGTTTCTGTAGCTTTATTATTTGTCTTGTAATAGGCACACTATTAAACAAGCAGTATGTGCAACATGACTGAGATCTTTTAGTTTCAAATGTGCAACTTGACATTTGTTTTAACATAGTATTTGGAATTTACTAGAATAAGGGTTCAAATAATTCCTGGCTGTTATGGACATGATCAGACTCATATTAGCAAAAGCTCCCTGCTGATTCTTTACAAGAGACAAGATCAGCTACGAGCAACAGAAATCTTTCCCTTTTGTTGGAAGAAAGAACACAGTCATCTGAAAGTCCAGCACACTGTGTTTACAAAAGCTTTCCCCTGGCTTGCCAAGCTCAGTGCATACCTAAATATTTCAAACCCCTCAAAGCTCTAACAGCACTAGGAGGAGATTACAATGAGCTATTATTCATTAACATTTTATTACACCATTATTGCATATTAATGCTACTGATTTTGCCTCATTGCCCAGCTTTATTGCATAAGATGAATCAAAGCATTAAGAAATGCCACACAGAGCAGAAAATAACAGATGCATTAAAATAACATGTGCAGCAATGTAAATAACCTCTCAATTATGGGGTGCCTGCTTTTATCACAGCATAAAATGTTATAAAATTAGCTGTGTGCTGTGTACGGTAATGGCAGGTCATTTTTTTTGGAAGGCCTTTCTTAGAAAATGTTAAAAATAAAAATATTGAGGGCAGTTATGAGGACTAGAGTAAAACTTTCCCTCAATGGAAAAAATAGGTTGTCAGGTGTATGCTTCCTCCTCCTATTTCAGAGGAAAAACTTGTGAATCACTTACTATTTATAACCCACAGTAGTCTTGAAAGTTTTATTAGCTATTGGGCCATTGACTCTACAATGAAAAGGAAAGTAATTACACCCTCCGTAATCTTCTTATGCTTCAATCTCAAATGAGCCTTTTACAACAATATATTTTAAGTCAATATCACTGCCTAACACACAGCTCTGTAGGCTCTGCTCTGACTGTGCTGCACCAAAAAGAGAACCATGTTCTCCTTTATCCCCTATGTGGTTATAAAGGAAACTTAAACAGAACCTTCGAGGATCTGACAGGCCTGGATAAGTGTAAGTATGGACAGATCTGGTTTGTATACGAGAACTCCCAAAACACAAGTGGCCCCAGCAATTGCCCTAGGTGTAACTGAGGGCAAAATCTGACTCCTCGTTAGTACTTACAAAATTATGAAAAGAGCTTTCAAAACAAGGTAGCTAATAGCTTCATATTTCCTTGCTAGAGCACTGCCTAAAAAGCATTCACAAGTAGAAAGAAAACAATGGTTAAGAAGTTAGCTTAGATTATGTTAAAAACCACAAGTATGAAAAAAATTCTGAACTCACTTTTCCCAGAAGAAGCTGTGAATAAACACATCCTCCTCAATTGAGGGAGGATGTTAGCAGCATGTGGGTTTTCAGCCAGTTTCCTCACCTTTATTTCATTATTTTGAATATTTTCTCAGTCTTTACTCCTCCTACACTGGCTCATTCATAATGTGAAATTCAGAAATGCAGCTTGTTTGCTTTCTACCCTTTTCATTGCAGGTCAGCCACTCTGAGGAGTGACTTGATGGCTTGGAACTTAAATTACCACAACTAGGAACTCAAAAGAAAATAACCATTTAATTTTTTGCACCAGGAATCTACATTCTAAGCTTTATAATGAATGTATCACTTACCACCCAAGGTTTGTCGCAAAAATTATAGATTGACTCTAGGGAGTTGACACTGGGGACACCAGCATAATGCATTCCAATGATTAAGTTACGGAAGTCTTCGTTCTCAGCCATACTGAATGAATGTTGTCGAACAAGAACAAAATCAGGTCTGAATGACCTAAAGAGAAAGGGATATATAACTATTAGGGAATGATCAAATTATTTTCTCTGATAAAAGAGAATCTTAAAAGGGAAAGTTGTAGGAGCTGCTGGAGAGTAGTAGATGAATTAAAATAGCTTTTACAAGAGCATAAAAAAGATGGTTATTGGCTGAAGTATAAAACCAGGTGAACATTGTTATTTTTGAGCTACAGCTTTGTTGCATCTCTGTTCAGTTTTTGCTACTAGAGAAGTCATGACTCCCAAAGGTATCATATCCTAGTATGAAGAATAAGAGCTAGAGAGGAATTTCAGGCTATAATTACACTACGAGCTAGGCTGGGATTTCCCTGGTCATGTCTCTACACTCTCACTAGCTCTCACCCCTCTAGCGCCCGCACAAATAGTAGTGGAGCCATAGTAGCACGGGCAGCAGCACCAGAGGCATGGTTTAGCCATGCTGAGCACAAACCCACCTGAAACCAGTGGGTAGATACTCAGCACACTTAAGCCATGCCTCCACTGCTGCTACCTGTGCTCCTGCAGCTGCACTGCTATTTATATTCATGCCAGACTAATGAGAGCAGGCAAAAGTACGTATACGTGCGCAGAGGGATCACACCCCTAACACGTAGTGTAGGCAGCCTCAGACAGGAGTCTTACAGATTCAAAAACTTATGCTAAATACTCCCTTGAGATGCACAGCAGTATATTGACATTCCACCCTGACATATGATATAATATATACCATGTGCATTATATATACACATGTGGTATTTGCAGTATTCTAGCTTCTGTTTTTTACCCTTTGTATCCCAGACATGCATTGTTTTATAAAAACTTTAAAAGTTAAAGAACTTCACAGCTTTTTTTCCCTCATAAAATTCCTAACCAATGTCCTAATGTTTAGCTTTAAAAACATGTGGGCAGTATTGCTAAATAATTTCAATGTGTATTTTATATAAATCACTGCCACATAAGTCAAGCAGAATTAGATACTTTAATGTGTTTGCTTTATTCCTTTTAACTAAAATTAATTGCTAATGATAAATCCATTTTAATAAAATGGGGCGTTATTTATCATGAATCAGCAGTCTTTGAAAAGCAGGACGTTTGGGCAACATTAAATGTAAGCCTGTACAAATATTGAAATAGCTTTAAATAAAACAACTAATGTTTGTCAAATATCCTAACAGGAAGAACTTAACACCAAGACAAACTGGTAAATGATGCCAGAAAATATTTTTATAATTTGGAAAACAAGTCTGACCACACAAACTTAGTTTTATCATAATTAAAGGTTTCTTTCTTACCCCTGCATCCTTTAGGCTGAGAAAGAGTCGTCAGATTCCACAGCAGATTAAATACAGTGGGTCAGATTCTGATCTCATTTAGACAGATGTAACCCCAAAGTAACTCCACTGACTTCAACACTAAGCAGTGTAAATGAGATCAGAGTTGGTCCACTATATACCATCAGTAAAATAGGACATTGCATGAAATACAGCAAGCTCACAAATTTCCTGGATTATCACCCAGGAAGACTAAATTTTCACATCAAACTTTGTGCAATTTCTTTAGAAGCTTTTAAAGTTTGATTCTGTTCTGAAAAGTGATTATATAACCCCCCCACACACACACACACTCGTTTACCCAGCAGATCTTCTCCCTGTGCATATTCAGTCACATTTGTTTTCCCAAGTGATAAAATAGGTATGTACTGCTATTTATTCCTGCTAGGCCTGCAGAGCCAACACATTTAAGAGGAAGTGAGCTGGATCCTGTTGCTCCTTGTGCATCCTCAACAGAACGGTTTACTAAATTCCAATCAATTTCACCTATGCAAGCACCCTGAAAGCAACAGGTTTGTACAGATGTCTTCAGAGTAAGCCTTCAGTGATAACCAAGTTGCACAGCTGTGACTGATGACATAATTTGGCCTGCTGAATGTTTATTACCAACAATGAGAAAACACAAGAAAAAAAGAACCGAGCATGATGCAGTGTTGCTAGTGCATGTAATTTTATCACAAGTCTTGTAATATGTTGTGTTTTTCTTAAAGTCACAAACCCTGGAGTCACATGATCACATGAAACTCTTGGCTTTCATTTTAAAATAAAAGGTTATTCCTAGCACTCCTGGTGAGACAGAAAAGCTTGAAAACATGAACCCAGGGGCTCAGACCCAGAAGGCAATAAATAAACAATATCTTCAAATCTCAGGATATTTTCTGGACTGACTCATAATACCTGAGCACTTGGAGATGGTAATACTGTTGACATACGTATCCCAGGCTAAAGATGTGGGGCTGACAAAAAACACCCTTTATGTTATTTTTACAAAAAGAAAAGGAGTACTTGTGGCACCTTATGCATCCGATGAAGTGAGCTGTAGCTCACGAAAGCTTATGCTCAAATAAATTGGTTAGTCTCTAAGGTGCCACAAGTACTCCTTTTCTTTTTGCGAATACAGACTAACACGGCTGATACTCTGAAACCTGTCATTATTTTTACAGTTGCTTTTTAGAACACATCCACATTTAACCTCTCATATGTTTCTTTCCTCCTTCCTTTGCTCTCTCCCATCTGGGAGCTAGAAGGGAGTGAGGAGACTGGTCTTGTACTGTAGTAAAGTAATCAGCATGGGGTTACCTGGATTATTCAGAGTATTAAGGGGTTGAGACACGCTCCACCTTCTCTCCTACCTATTAGTCAGTGGGCAACCCCAGTCTCTCCCTCCCCCACCATACATTTTGTAGTTCAGCTGAATAAAACAGCGAGTACCCAGCCTGCAGCACTATGATTAGAGCATTATTTTTGTTATGCTGAAAGGTCCCTTTACAAAACTTATGTTCCCTCTCCCCTCTTTGGGGATAAAGGTTTAAGCAGCTCCTGTTCTGTCCCTCTGGGAAGGCCTTCAGTGGGGTGCTGACAGATCTTCTCTCCATTCCCCTGAAGCCAGATCAGATTAGCACTCCCACTCAACATGTGAGGGGGAGGCAAGTGCTTGCCTTAGGCTCCAGCTGCACAGCTTTAGGAACACCTGAGCAAGAATTCTGCTCCTGTGATACATGCAGAGCAGAAGGAATAGGCCTTGCTGTCCAGCCAGGTATTGAGGGCTCCTCACAACACCAGGGAGAGGGGTAATGAGGAACAATGTTCCCAGATGACACCTCATGGCAGCCCTCCCTTTGCTTCCAGAAGTCCCTTTGCACCATCCCTTACACTGACTCCTGTGAACAGGAGACTATAGACAGCTTTGGCATGTCATGAAAATAATCAAGTGCCGCCCTCCCTTTTTAACAGTTTCCATGAAAAAAAAGACCGAGAAGAATATGCAGTTCAGGGAAGCACAGCATGTGCAGTCTTTAAGCGCTGTTGGATCATAGTTTCCTGAAAACTGAGCCTTTAGGAGAAGTGGGCAAAAATAAAAGCAAAAACCAGATGTTAAGAACCAGACTAGAACCAAACCTCTATCAGATTTGGAAATATTCCAGTGAGGTTTCTCCACTTCCATTCCCCAGCTAGGACAGGAAGTGATGAAACACCTTGAGGCAGCCTGTTCATATGCGATTTCCTGCTGGCGATGGAAACAGAACTAGGCTTGTCTATTCTCAGCAAATTTGCAACTTGATTTTGAGGAAGAATTCAAAAGGCTCGGATTAGAGATGGCTGGAAGTTGCAATGGTGGAATCTGGAATCAGGTCTTTTAGAGATTGGTGATATCTGAATCTGGGTTTTGGCTTGGTCCATTATCAAGATAAGGGCTATTGGCATAATTCAGATATTGATGGGGGTTCTGATTTCATACACCCCAAAGTATTTAGATTCATTGGCTTTGGTTTGGGTCTGCTCTAGGGATGTAAAATGTTAACCGATAAGCATTACTCTTACCGGTTAACCCACCCCAACTGTTAACTGCCAGCCAGCCACACCGGCCCTAGCCCCAACTGGCCCCTGCTGGATTGGCCCTGGCCCCAGCCCCAGCCCCAGCCGTGCTGGCCAACCCTTTAATTGGTTAACCATTTAAATGAAATATTTTTAAATTGTTTAAACAGTTAATTTTTTAAACAATATTTACATCCCTAGTCTGCTCCTAGTTCTGATGGTTCAGGTAAGCATCTGAGTTTCTGGCTGTTTATCCAAAACTAAACACAACAAAATCTTACACTCATCACTACTCTTTAGTAAATTAAGCAACTGAAACCTTGAAATTTAGGTACTTGCAATGCCAGGTGAAGGGAAGCAGAAGACGTAGAATCATAATATTTAGTTTAGAATCATAATATTCCTTAGAATAAGTTCCTGTGACACGCTAGCGACAGATTCCCAACCACATTCAATTTCATGTCTAGACAAATCAGTGACTAGCTTGAAGCAATTAATCTATGGTGAGCAATATTATAATACCAGGGTGCAGGGTGAAGAGAGTTGTGGGGCATCAAAGTATATTGTGAATTGGATGGTGTTCATTAGCTTTAGAATCAGAAAGTGGAAAAAAAGTTCCACGAAGCTGACAGTAAATCAAGTACTCAACTATAATTACAACTTTTTATGCTACAAAAGCATGCCCATAATAAATGCAGGCAATATCCTAGGGCTTCATTTTTCAAAACTATTTAAAGGATTTGAACCCCTGATTCTTGCTAAAAATCAATGGCAACTGCATATTCAAATCTCTTAAGAAGATTCGATATTCCCAGCCTGAACGCAGCTGGACACTTGCACTGTTTTCCAAGTATACGGCATAATTTGTCTGGAGCAACATTACAAAGATTAGTAGTTAGATGAAATGGCATTGTAGACTGGACTACAAACTGGCAAGTTAATGCTTGTTTTTATCAAGTGATCCTTAGGGTATTTATAGGGTAGTTCTGAGAACGTGTGATCTAGGTTTCAGTGGGGAATGTCAAGTGCACTGAAGTGTGTGTCGTGTAAAGAAATTCAATTTACTGGCACAGAATGGGTAAAAACACTTGAAGGATTACTGATCCTCCTCCTTTATTTTTGCAGACCACCCAGGGCAAGGGAGAGTCTGCACCTTGATCTTACAAAAAGGGGAAGACCATTGAGGGATTACACATCATCTCAGAGTGTACTGTGCACTTAGACAAAGGAAAAAGATAGGAAGTGCCCCTTTAAAATGTAAGCTCTCTGAACTGACCCTAGATGGAACTGACCTAAATCCAGGGGCGGCTCCGAATTGTCGCAGCGCCCGGAAGAGCAGCGGGGCTGCCGCCGAATTGCCACCGTGGGACACAGACCGCCGCCCCATTCTCAATGCTGCCCCAGGCACCTGCTTGGAAAGCTGGTGCCTGGAGCCAGCCCTGCCTAAGTCTCCCCTCCACCGCACATCCTCTCAGTTGAAGACTGGTGCATGAAATTTAGAGGAAGGAATGTAAGGAGTTGGTGCATTCTGATCAGAATAAAGAGAGTGAGTTACAGTTCTGTAATTGATACTGGACAGAAAGTCTACACATGACTGCATATACATATATAGAGGTGTGTGCACAAAACTCACCACTGACACAAAGCCTCCCAAACCCCAAAATCTCAATGTTTTGTGACAAATGTTTTTTCCATTTTTTCCAGCATTTTTTTCCCTTTTTTGTGAAAATGAAAGGCAGCTTTTGCATATTTAAAAAAATCTTCCTAGTAAACACTACAAAATGGAAAGTTTCTTTCTTGGGAAAATACATAATAACGTATGATTTTGTCCAGAAAGTGACATTTTGCTCTGCAAAGCTATGCTAAAAGTTCCCTTTGAATCACATTAGCAAGTACTACCAAAACATAAGTTTTCTCATCTGAATATTCAGAAATCAAAAACTGCTATTAAATCTCATTGTATATATTACAAGTGAAGTCCTTGCTCCACTGAAGTCAATGGGAATTTTTACCATTGACTTCAATGGGCCACTGTTTCACCCTGAAAGTGGAGCTCTTCCTGTGTCCTCCTTCTAAGAGATTGACTTAGGGCAAACAAAGGGACATGGTGCACATCCTGTTATCTGGCCCATACACTAAAAAGTGGCTTAAACGAGGTTTCTTGTCAGCTGAACATTTGAAGAACACACTTCCGTGTACCTCTGCATTCCTATAGGCTGCTATAAAAAAGATGGAGACAAATTTCTCTCTCTTGCCACAGAGGACAGGACAAGAAGCAATGGGTTCAAACTACAGCATAACAGATTTAGATTCAATCTCAGAAAAAAAAACTTCCTAACTGCAAGCACAGTAGGACAATAGAACAGACGGCCTAGGGAAGTCACGGAAGCTCCTTCATTGGAGGTTTTCAAAAAGAGTCTGGATAGCCATCTGTCTTGGATGGTTTAGACACCACAAATCCTGCATTTTGGCAGAGGGTTAGATTATATGGCCCGGCCCTGGCCCTTCTAACCCTATGGTTCTATGATTCTAAATGATCTACACCGGTCCAAATATTTAATAGGCTTCAGACAGTGGAGTTTAAAAAAAGGGTGAGATATAGTTAACCAAAAGACTGCCACAGGAGTTGCATGATTTTTCACTTATTTATGACAAAGGATGTAAGCAGAAACATAGTTATATGTTTTAATAAAATTAAAAAGGATAAACATAGTAAAACAATCATTATTATTTTCAATGCAGTAGTTCCTGCGGCAGGATAAGAGCTTTTCAGACACACAAGATGACAGTTCCAGCCCCAAATAGCCTTCCAATTGAAAAGGTTTGCTCCAGGGGTAAGTGGGGATTTTATACTAGATTTCAGCATGGAAAACCATTTTTTCTTTATGACACTTTTCAAACTCCACAGGGAAAAATTCACAATAATATAGTACTTGTGACTGATCAGTGATGTTTCAATCATCTTCAAAACACAAAGAAAATATTTATACAGGTACACTGCCATGCACATATTACAACAGATGATCTGTTTTCATTTAGGTCCTGATCCTGCACTGGGCCCAATGTGAAATTCACTTCAGTATAGTGTCAACAAATCTAATAATTAATCTATGGGGACAAGAAGGAATGTTTAAAGAAAACTAGAAACAAGTTAAAGTTTTCAGTGCTAAGTAGTCCTAGTTCTACACTATCCTGGCAATTCCATTAGGTTGCCACACCCATAACAATGGTAACAATTTACTGAAGAGATCCTTTGTCAGCTCGCTGTTATACTTGCTCACACACAAGTGCCACAACTGGGTTTCGTCACACTGCCAGGTTGCTTTCTTTCTTGATGTTGACTGCAGAGAATTTGAGGCCTGTCTCATGAATCAGAATTCCTTGTAGTGGGGATACCACATGTGGGCAAGTACAGCTACAGAGAAAAGTATCTCCTCTTACTCAAGCATTTTAGTAAGGAATTCCAGTTAATTCTTCCCTTCAAGGGTTACACCTTCTTATGCTTTATTCAGGTGTTCTTTTGTTTGTTTATTTTGTTTTTCAAACTTACCTGACAACTTTGGTGCCATTACGGAATGCTTGGATGTCTACGGCATAACTGCCCTCAGCATGGGCTATCAAGTTGATCTCTGAAAATTGTGCCTATGAAAAAAGACTCAGATAAGTCAACCTGCTTTTATTTTACCCATATTTTAACTAACTTCCTTCTCTTTATTTTAAACATTAGCGTTTAATTGCCAATGTTGTGCATGAAGCATAACTAGTATTGAAAACAAATACTTTTCACCTAAAAAAGTCAGGCATATTCACATCACCACAAGTTTGCCACAGTTCTAACATATTAAAAGAAAAAATGGGCTACAGCATGAATATATCCATGGTAAGGGCCTATCTGGGGCTCATACACAGGATGAGCATATTTCCTTCTTCATCTCTGTATCAAAGGTTGATATTTATTTTTGCTCTGTGTGGTATTTCAGTGGAAAATTAATAGAGAGACTACTTAAAGTTATAGCCTATGTTGTCCAGAAACCATATAACCAAACTATGAATTAGAGGCAAATACCATACGTAAACAGAGCACCTGCTTACAGCATGTGTATCAATGTCCCTACATATACACACTTTTTCTGTATTATGTGCATTTATTCTTCTTCTAAAGAGGTTCCACATCAAGTATCCTATGCACAACACTATACAGTCATGATTCACAAATGCAGAATTTCTCTTAGAAAGATATTTTCGCACACTAGAAATGTGACATTTACAAGGACAATAATTCAATTCCATACTGTTCGTGAGTAAAGTGACACTGTGATCCCTCAGTTATTTGAAATAAAAGGACAGGATGTTTTTCATATATGTCGTGTCTTTCATCTACATAGACTCCCACAGCTCTTTATTATAACACTGACCAGCAGAATAATGGAAATGCCCCCAGCTATAATGTTTTGGTTCGATAAATGAAGGCATCTTTGCTGTCCCAGATACCAATACAGAAAGCATCAGAAGGCTCACTGAAAACTGGAGTCAATGGAAGTTTGCCTGAGTAAACCCTGTGTAAGAGCCTCAGAGCTTGGCCATGCAAAGTGCTGACTAATCTGACCCAATCCATCAAAGCACTTAAGCATGTGCCTAACTTTAAGCATGTGACTAGCCCATTGAATCTAAACACACGCTTAAGAGCTCTGATGGATAGGGGCCAGAATGCTCTGGACCTTGCTGGATGAAGCCCTTGGCACATAGTTTTTAAATTAAATTGATAACATACACACTTTACAATGGCAATGTCGGAAGTTATGAATATACATCTGTCAGGATTCCCTCCCCACTCTGAACTCTAGGGTACAGATGTGGGGACCCGCATTAACCAGCTTAGGTTAAAAATTTCCCCAATGCACAAATCCTTCCTTGTCCTTAGATGGGTACTGCTGCCACCACCAAGCGAGTTAGACAAAGATTCAGGAAAAGGACCACTTGGAGTTCCTGTTTCCCTAAAATATCCCCCCTTCGCCCCCTTTCCTGGGGAGGCTTGAAAATAATATACCAACCAAATAGGTAAACAAGGTGAGCACAGACCAGCCCCTTGGGTTTTTAGGACACTAAAAACCAACCAGGTTCTTAAAAGCAGAACTTTATTATAAAGAAAATGTAAAACAAGGACCTCTGTAAAATCAGGATGGAAGGTAATTTTACAGGGTAATCAGATTCAAAACACAGAGGATTCCCCTCTAGGCAAAACTTTAAAGTTACCAAAAAAAAAAAAAAAAACAACACCAGGAATTAACCTCCCTCTTAGCCTAGGGAAAATTCACAAGCTACAACAAAAAATAATCTAACACGTTTCCTTCCTATTACTTACAATTTGTAATCTTAGATGGTTAATTCAGACATAGCTTTAGTAGATGTATTTTCCCTGCCCTGGTTCCTTACTGACCCAGAGAGAACACAAAGAAAAAAAAAAACAAAAAACTTTCCCCCACAGATTTGAAAGTATCTTCTCCCCTTATTGGTCCTTTTGGTCAGGTGCCAACCAGGTTATTTGAGCTTCTTAACCCTTTACAGGTAAAGGAAGGATTTTATGCTACCCTTAGCTGTATGTTTATGATAACATCTAAGAACTGAGGCTGTTATAGAAACAATAATTCAGAATATGTTTAATTTGATACTTGCTTCTAATCTTTCTGATTCATTAATCAGGTTAAAACGACCAATTCCAGTGGCTTGCTTCCTCAAAGTATCCTAATCATGTGTTTTGCCATTGAATTAAAAATTTGACAAGTGCTAGAAAGGCTGTAGGTTTATTTTTCTATACAATGACTGGGCTTAAGTGCTCCAGTGGACACTGGGCCAAATTCTTGACATCTATTTTGGAAAGAAGGAAAAAGATTTCACAGTACAGGAAAGTGCTCTAATATTCAGAACAACTGTGAACAGGATTCTCATCTCACCGGAGTTTGTCCGTAAGGTGCAACATGCCCTCCAATTTCTGTGTATAACTGTGTGTAACAAATGCAGCAAGTAGTAAGGCAAATGTGACACTGAGAACCACCTCCTGCTCAGCACTCAGTGGCGATGGGGATTGAGACTGTACCCCATCTATCTTTTTGTTAGACTACATTTTCTCTGGGCCCTCCATGAACTTGTGTGCTCCAGTGCCAATACAGGGAGAAGTCTACAATTTTCTTGCAGTTTCCAAGTCCTGCATTTCCACAGTATGCTGTTTGCTCAGTGTCTGAACCCTCTACCTGCATTATGATGTTCAGGAAGTCCAACATGCTGATAATGCACTGCTGGCAGTTACTAACTATAAAATATTAAAATGGTGTCAGTGACTCAGGTTAATTGCACAGTAGAAAACTTCTGTTACCATGGGATTAGTAGGGTCCACAAAAACAAAAAATTCCTCAAACTTTCACTGTCCCATCCACAAAAAGCAGGTCCCGACTCTGCAACAGACTCTGTGCCAAGAGGATCCCCACAGCCTCACCCCCAAGCTCAGAGCCCCCTCATGTACCCCCAAACCTCACCCCCATCCAGAGCCGTCACCCTCACCCTCTCCTGCACCCCAACCCCCTGTCCCAGTCCGGTGAAAATGAGCAAGTGAGTGAGGGTAGGGGAGAGCAGGTGACGGACGGAGGGGAGATGGAGTGAGTGGGGGGCCAGGCAGGGCAAGGGTGTTCGGTATTCTGCAATCAGAAAGTTGGCAACCTTACTCCACACGGGTAATGCTTGTGTGACTTGAACTACAGGATTGGATGTATATCTGAACTATATTTTAGGTCCAGATAATATGCTTCCTTTTTCCCTAACCCCAACAACACTCCTGCAGATCCCCACAAGACTTTCCATGCTTCTGAGTTAAAAATGTGGATCAGATCCTCAGCTGGCATAAAGCAATGTGGTTACATTCAAGTCAGTAGAGCTATGTTGGATTTACATTAGCTGAGAACCTGGCTCGTGATATTTTGTTCTCTCAGGGCCCTATTCAAAAGATTCCAGAGACAAAACAATCCCTTTTATGTGACAACAAAATATGGAAAAGATTCATGGCTACAGTCCCTTTTATAAACAGTCACTGAAAGCATGCAAAGAATGTGTTTATTGCCCTTTTCAGAAATCCAATTCAAGTGAAATCTGTATAAATCTTCTAAGGCTCTGCAGATATATATGGCTTTACCCCATATTTTAGAAGTGCTAAAACTGCACTGGGGTACATGTACATTTTAAAATTAAGACAGCAATAGCGTGAACCAGAAAAAGCCAACATTCAGTCCCACTCATCCTTTGGGAAATCAGTTGTCTGTAGCTAACCCTTCTGATCATTTCATATTTTTACCACTATGCAAAGCTATGATGATACTCTAGTAAGAGCTGCATTAAAATGAAAATGAATACTTGAAATTTTTATTGCAGTCTCCTGAGGCTGCATCCCAGGGCCTTAGAAAGGGTTGGGATGATCAGGCACAGCAATGAAGGGACCAGAATCATGACGCTGGACTATAATGTGCCATGTCACCACCACAAGGACATTAGAACAGTTAATGGGGGGTGGGCACTTAAGGCCCCCCCCAAAGTACCCCTCCAATTAAATAAGTTTGTTCTTGCCACATTCATAATTCACAACAAAATTTAACAGTAGCAAAATTTTCATGAAGCTTTTGGCATTGCTTAAGAAATTCCATAAAAGAAGAGCTAGCAAATTCACATGCTATTTAACCCACTTACACACTCTCAATTTTCAAGGGACTATATAGAAAATGATAAATAAATATTTGTAACATCTAGAGTAAATAGTTTAGTTACCTGTTCAACTTTGATGTCATATTCCCCATGGACCTTTTTCCCACGAAAGCACTTGACCCTGGAAAAAGAAAAATGTCACTAAGTTATGTACAGTAATACATGCAAATTAGTGTACTTGAGAAAGGACATGTAACAATAGTCAGTAGCCAGGTTTAGTTTTCAAATGATTTTCTGTATATTATAAATATATATTCATAACAGATTATTACACATTGGTCTATTTTACATACCCATATTCTCACACCAGCCACCTCCTCTCTTTCTTTCCATCATGGTACATAGAAAAATCAGTTTGCTTCCACCACAAGAGGTATCCCTAATGTTGTTGTTATAACACAATTTAATCCATATATATTATAATAATAAAATGGTTACTGACAACAAGATGTGATCCTGCTTCCATTAAAGACAATGGCAAAATCCCATTTACTTTTATGCAAACAAGGGCCCTACAATGAATCATGTCAATCTGTATGTTCTCAGTTTACTCAGAAGCCTATTCTATGACAAACTCTGCAAAATCCTGCTCAAAATGTCAAAGAGTTGTGATCTGCCTTTTAAATGAACTTTCAGTGATGACCCTAGATGTGGCACTCAATGAACATCTGGGTGACCAATTTACAACACTATCACATCAACCTACCCTACCTCAAATATATTTATATTCCACTAGAGACAAAATAGGACTAACACATTTTGACAATGTGTTCCTCTGTATTTGTTGTTTATCTACTTAGCTTTGCTTTTTTTGGGAAGATATTTTTGGAGGAGGATTTTACTTCAAATTGGCATCCTAAACAGTCTTCTCTTACAAAGACTGTTAATTTTATTTCTTAAATAGCCTATGTAGTTATTTTAAAAACTTTATGCCTTGGATTCCAATTAGAATTTCATATTCATAGCTCTTAAAGTAAGAAAACCAAAGGCATATACCAACACTATAATACTGTTCCTCCTTCTTCCTACATCAGTGTCTCGTTTGATACCAGTGTTGCCCCTCTGCTGAGTGGGAGCAGTTGTCTAGGGCCTTGCAGGTTAGTTTCTAGTGGAGGAGAAATCAGAAAGGCAGAGTCTGGGTATATTCCAAATGTTATTTGCTTTATTTATACACATATACAAGTCTTGAAATAAGATGATCAAATAGCAATGACTTCTTATAGGCATCTCAGTTCAACACTGATCCCCTGACTCTCAAGGAACAACTCTGCCTCAAGAACTGACTCTAAACATAGATCAAACTCTTCTGCTGCTCAAGCAGTTCCCACTACATAACCCACCACACCACCACAGAATGTCTTCCCAAGAGTCAAAACTTGCTTTCACAATAAAAAAAAGAACTTGGGACAAATTGTTTAACTGACACCTGCCACAACAACACTTATTACACTAAAATCTTTCTTACTGAGAAAAAACAATTAAGAAATGGATTTTGTATAGCAAGCAGCTAATTAATTAACCTTGCCCCAATTATTCTCTGAAACTTCGCCACAGTAGCAAAGCAAACTCAGGTTGTCTTAATGTACTGTATCGTCCAGAAGATGACAGCAAATCCAAGGAACCCATAAGTCCTGGAAAAAAACTATAACAGGTACATATTGGAACAGAAGGCCTGATTTTCAAAAGATGCAGAGCATAGCCACAGGTGCACAGCTCCTCAGAAAAAGATCTTAGGTGTACAACAGTGTGTAGCTTAATTGTCCAGACAGGTTCCCATTAGAAAATTAGGGACTTAGCTTTTATAAAATGCTAACAGCCTATTCCTGCTCCACAGACTCCAATTGCAAAACTCCTGTTGATTTCATTAGGAGCAGGAAGGGGTTCTGTTCAGTCATGGATGAGGTATACATGATATGTGATACAGTGTAAAATGATTTTAATTTAAATAGAACTACGTTGGTTCCAGAAATTAATGTTACAACAAGTCTGCCTTTTGGCATACTGAAATATAAGTTTATAACACGATTCAGCTTTATGAATAAGTTTCAAAAGACCATTTAAAGATATCTCCAGTCTCACATTGTTTTCTCTAACAAATGCCAAGAACTGATTAATTCCATGGCTGAGGAAATGGAACTAAAAGTTTGTAAAATCGTTTTTTTTTAAAGTTCATCTTTCAAAGAAACAGCAGGAGTCATTTATTTCTCTAGATGACTGGGATCTATTTTATATATTGGCAAATGTACTACATCTCAATTTAGGTTAAATACTGTCCATTAGATTCATCTTTTCTTTTTAAACATCCTTTGGATGAGGCAATCATTAAACAACTGATCTCTGGCATGATTCACATTTCAACAAATGACTTCAGCTTTGAAAATAAACAGTAATAGTAAGTGCAAAGTGATGCCATCTGGAGCCTGACAACAAATGTTAAACATGATGGAACTGGAAATACTTAAAGTGACTTAATTCCATAGTAGCATTAAAAACTGCAATGTGTCATACATACGCGCTCTCGACATTTTACTGAGAGAGTCTGCTCTGAATCTCACCAAAACATACATTATGGTCATGGATCCCTAGTATCAGATGACTAAACACTGGGCAATTTTTAATGTGTTTATTGACTGTGCACTAGGACCTAATTCAAATTTAACTACCCCTCAAATCACAGAAAATGCAGTACCACCCTACCTTAATTATTCCCAGCAACCTTCATAAATGACATGACTGCACATTTCTTAAGACAATTATTAAATTTATGTTCTTGTAGTAAAAAAAGGGGGTGGAAAGAATTAGCTCATACTATGGTGGTGGTGGTCTATTTACAAAGTTTCGCTTAAGTACAGTTGGAAATTCCCACAGTCTTATCACTTTTGGCAGAGTGTGAATCTCTCCATCTCAGCTACTGACACATTTCCGTGGAAAATCAGGTGAGACCAAGGCTAGGATTTCTAAACCGGGTATTTTTTTTAAGAGAGTATTGTTAGCTGTCAGATTAACAAAACATACTGCATCAGAAGAAAGTAAAAAATAACAACTCAGTGTTGATAGTGTAATGCGCAAGTGTGGAGGGGAGAAGAATGATGGATACTTTTTTCTTTCTCTATTAAATTCACTGTATAAACAGTTGCTTGCCAGAACGTAATGTACAGGAAATGGACAGGTATTAATACTAATGTCCTCTACTGAAGTTGTCAGCATCAGCACTTACATACAGGATCTTCTGAAAATGAGCAAAAATATTTACACATTTCATACTCTGGGTAAAATCTCACTTATTTAAAATCACACAACTCTGCAATATAGTTGTCAGAGATGCAGCTGAATGTGAACTCAGTACTAGCTATGCAGCTTTGGCAACAGCAATAAATGAAGTAGTGAAAATTTTAAAATATGCTGAATAAATAAGGGAGAGAAGGTGGGTAAGGTAACATCTTTTATCAGACCAACTTCGGTTCATGAAAGAGACAATTTTTCAAGCTCACACAGAGCTCTTCTTCAGGTGAGCTCTACGTATGCTCAAAAGCTTGACTCTCTCACCAACAGAAGTTGGTCCAATAAAATATATTACCTCACCTACCTTAACTCTCATATATGCTGGGACCAACATGACTACAACACCACCACTGCGAACACCACCTGGATAAATAACAAAGCCCTGCAATGTTTTCCTTTTAACACAGGGACATTACATTGGACCCTCAAATTATGAAAACAAGAATATACATTTCTATAGCACCTTATCATATCACAAAGCATCCCCTATAGAGCAAGAAAGCATGAAAACTGGCCCTGATTACAAACCCAAACTAAGGTATTGATTAAACAGAAGAATAGCAGGGTTCCCTTCTGGGGGGAGAAATGGACAATATGAAGATACATGTATTTTCCTGAGTCAGTTTTGCAAGCCAAGTTGGACAATAGTCCAACCTCCAGTAACTGCAAGTCACCACTCCAACCCTTATATTACCTAATTAATGCAATTGTTACACAATGATGAATGAGAAGGTTGCACCTATCATCAATGTTCAGATTTTAAAACTATTTAAGACTGAAGTACAAGTCGCAGAGGTCTTGGATAGACATACTCTATATTTTAACCAATTTATTTGAGCATGAGCTTTCGTGAGCTAAGCTCATGCTCAAATAAATTGGTTAGTCTCTAAGGTGCTACAAGTACTCCTTTTCTTTTTGCGAATACAGAGTAACACGGCTGTTACTCTGAAATCTGAACTCTATATTTTAACATCTATTCCGCATAGAAAACAATAGATCATTGGACATAAGTATAACTATAAAAAATATAGTCCAGGGACCTAGTCCTGCAAACTTTATGCTCAAACTTAACATTGTGCATGTGAGTAGTCCCTTGGAGTCCACTCTAGTGCATGAAGTTACACATGTGTGCAAAGCAGAAATGAGGCTTAAAATGATATAAATGGTAATTAGAGGGAGATTTTCCGAAGTCCTCATTGTTGGACTACTTCTGACCCCAAATGAAGACACTGGCCGTTGACTTCAGTGGGGGAAAGTTAAGGCAATGTTGAATGCTTCAGAAAATGTGACCCTCTTCTATCTTGCTGACCACTAATATCTCATTGCTTCCTTATACTCTCCTGCACTGGTCTGTCTGTATCTATTTGTTGTTTCTTGTCTTAGACTGTAAGCTCTCTGGGACATGAGCTCTTTTTGTTCTGTGATGGTACAGTGCCTAGTGCAATAGGGTCTTGTCCACATCTGGGGCACCTGGGTGCTAAAATAATACAAATGAAATAATATTAATAGTAATAAATAATAAAACCACCTAATGCTGTTAGGGACTCCAGTGCATCCTTTCTGTGCTTCTTTATTAACTTGTGCTAACTCTATACACATTCTTTTTAGTTACAGTTTTGCTGACTAATCTCATTTTTTACATTACATTTCAATACTTATAAACCTAGAGTAGAGGTCACTTAGAAAAAATATGTATGAGAAAAAACAGTGGTGAGGTAGTTTCCAAAACACAGAACTGTGGTTAGCTTTTCTCGTTTTTGTCTGGCGTATGTTATTTGTTTAGTACCAACAACTGCAGAGCACTGCACAGATCATAGAGGAAGACATGGCCCCTGTCCT